TGATCCGTAAACTTGCAAATGTCTATAGTTTTAGAGCAGGACATGCTTATAATAAGTTATCATCTGGTCATGGTACTACAAATTTTTTAATATTTGCTTGATATACTTTATTTCAACCTGTTTACCAAATAAATTATTATTAATACTAACCGAAGGCAAAGAAGTGACCTTTTTGTCAATATCCTCAAACATGGAACGCAATTCATCAAGCTCAAGTGTACCTAAATATGGTGAAAATTATAAGATTTATTTATTTATTTTTTTTGGAATCAAGACCACACAATATGTATATATATCTCACCGCTTTTGTCAACATCATACCGTTCAAAAAGCTTATCGGCCTGTTTCAAATGATTAGCAGTAATTGGATATTTTCTGCTAATTTTTTTTGCCAACATAACAAATTCATCATAACTCAACAATCCATTTTTATCAACATCAGCATCAATAAAGAATTGCATCAGCCCCCGAACCAAGTTTGGATTTTCAATGGTTGAACAATCCCCAATTGCGTACACAGAAGAATCATGAATACCTTTAAGGCGTAATCTATTATCAGTAATAAGAGCACGTTTGTTTTTTTGCTCCGGTAACTTATCTGATATAGACTTGGTCAAAGGATTCATCGCTAATATAAACATTTTTATAGTAGTTTAACCATATGTTCTAGATTGTAAAAAAAAAAAAAAAATTTTAACTCACAAATTCCAGTAGACCATAAACATAATCCATAATCAAGTTGTCTCGTATCTTGTTCATTTTTCATTTTGTAAATGAGATGATCTGGTTCTATTTTTTGTACTCGCGCATTAGTAATGACATTAATGTTATCACGTTTAAATTTGTTCTAAGTGATACATATGCAATTATTAATTATATTGTGCCATACTAAAATCAAAAAAAAAAATTTTTTTGAGAACACTCTTACCTCCGCAAAATCACTAATCTTTGCATCATAGGTATTCAAGATATGATCAGAACTTTGAATTATGCTGACTTGCACTTTATTCCTAAGAACATTGGGAAACTACCATAAAATGGCAAGATTAATTTATAAACCAATTACAATGAAACAACATTAATAAACTCACATATTTCGCTAAATCTTCTGTTAAAAAATCATATAACTCTGCAGCGAATTCAACGCCTGATATTAAATTTATAATTAGCCATTAATTGAAATTATTATTTCTCATAAAAAGAAGGAATTTCACCAGTTGGACCTAAATAATCAGACCACATTAATATATTACGATTAGCATAATATTTCTCGACTAACATCCAAACATTAGTATATATTTACCGCCACCACAAACGACAAAACTTAAAAGCCGCTTTCTTTCTTCTGATGATGTCGTTGGTAAAGTAGCTTTTTCAAAATTGTCCATGATTTTTTTTCGTACTCCACGTGCATCTGCTATGCTTTTTAAGGTGTTGCAATATTCAATGCCCTCTATTCCATGAGTCATTGGCTCAGAACCCACAGCTATTATAAGCTAACGAAAGAGATGGTGTCGGTTAGATGTAGAAAATATCATAAAGATCATAGAAACTTAATAAATACTTTATCATAAGGAATATAAAAGGCAGCATTCGGATCATTTTCAGGTGTTACTTCGACCAGTTTGTCATCAAAAACAATATCTGTAGCCTTGGCTTCTATGTAATGTGCATCAACACCTTTAACAATGCTCCTAATAGGCTCTAGCAAAGATCTAATAATACATTTATTGTCATTATAAAGCTAATAACCCCGTGAAAATGATGAAAAAATTTATAAACACCTAGTCTCTAATGTACCAACGGTAGCCGATGGAAGCAGAGGTCTGAAATAAATTATTTGGGAATATGTTAATCTTATCATTTTATAATCTTGTATTGAAGAAAATATTATAAAACTTACGTGAAAAGGAAATAATTTCTGAAAATAAAGATATGCCAAAGTAAAACTTTCAATAAATAAAATATTTGATGTATATTGCTAGAAAATACAACTTACTGTGGAGAGACTATAGTGACATGATATTTGTTCTTATCTAATCCTTTGATAAGGGAAACAGCCTATAATCAGAAGAAAAGAATTCCGCACATATATTATTATTATTATTATTTAGCACGAAGAATATTAGAAACTTACACCCCATCCTGAACCAAGAATGACTATTCTTGGTCTTTTTGAGGCAACTTCATAATCTTTTTCATCTGTAAAATGCTCCGCAATCATTAGTTCTTTTGGACCACCTTTTTTAAGACAAATATGTATAATCTTTTCTTCATGCTCTTTCGATTGAACTTCACATGTATAACGATCCAATTCTACTAATATTGTAGTACCAATTACAACAAAAGTTGAAAATAAAATCAAACGACGCCAGTGTCTACGTCTAACAGTAGTTTCATTTGTCCCAGTTGATGCAAATCTCGATGAGAAGTTGAGACGTATATACCGATGGATTGGTCTCAACGAATTAAAAAAAAAATGCTGACTATTATTTGAATTCGATAGACTTGATAGCCTTTTAGACAATTTTGAAGTACCATGACCAGATGATAACTTATTATAAGCATGTCCTGCTCTAAAACTATAGACATTTGCAAGTTTACGGATCA